TAACTTGGAGAAAGCTACTAAACCTTGTTGTACCTTGTATCCTCATCATAAAACGAAGATGTGAATAGTCATTACCTCAACAAAATTATGTGAAGTTTACATATGTCAAGCACTTGGAGCAGTGCCTGACTAGCGTCAGTTATTATTATGTACTTGACAAATTGAATAACTACTATACAGCAAGCATTTTGTAAGTGATGAGGATTTAACTATGAATTAAAAATTCAAGCTCTCAAGGAACTTTCAATCTACAAGGCGAGGAGGAGAGGAATAAATTATAAAGCACTGCAAGTGAGAACCAGAAAAGGCTGCACTGAGGTCCCATGAGGGAAGGAAGCTGTCCGAGGCAACAGCTAAAGGACGTCTTCCAGCGAAAAGTCTTAAGCCAAACCATATTGAATGTGTTTAAGGTATAGCAAGGAGTACAGTGAAAACTGAATACTGTGTGCTGTGTTTTTTAAAAGAAAATGCAAAATTATAAATTCCCTTTGAGGAAAAAAAAATGCTCTACAAATTTTAAAAGACTACAAAAAACATGCCAAAAATTGAACAAATGTTTTGTTTGAATGACTAGACTATGGTAATGCATTTTTTTCTTTTCTATCCAAATTTTCTAAATATGTATTAATATAGTGTTTTTTAAAAAATGAAAGTACTTGTAAATAAAAGAGAATTTCCAATTACACAGGATTATTTATCATTTCTCCTCTATTTGTAGCCAAAATGATATTACTTTATTTAAATGTTGTAATGCATGCCTAACACGATATATTGCAGTTTACTTTTGCTAATATTCCATTTAGTATTTTGACAAAAAAGATTTTCTCTGCCTATATACTGAACACAATTGTATCTTTTCAACTAATATAGTTATGTGATAGATGCTTGTCTTTTGAAATTTCTTCACATCTTCTACGGTGAAAACTGCTCTCAATTTAACAAACTTTTCTTCAAACAAGTAGTCAATGAAAATGCTGTGATAGTCCACTTAACCGCTCTTTCAATATAGACTTTTTTAATTCAAGGCACCAGCAAAGGATTTGCAGAAATGAGGTTGCACATCTAGAAAACAAGTAATATTTGTAAAGTCTGCATTTATGTCCAAATATTTTACTCCTAAATACATTTCTTAAATTCTAGACCTCAGCTACAACACAGAATTTAGCACTGATCCTTCTGCATTTTATAGTCATTTTTAAAAGTGAATAATTATCCCCTTTGAATCTGTCAGAAATACAAATTTTTAACTTCGCCACTTTTTACAGTGTCTTTTGGTAATTTTCTTTACCTAACATTTCAATTATACTTTAAAACATACAAAAATTAACATTTGACTAGAAACTGGAAACATGTATTACCTTGGGGATGGTTTTAAAGTGTAAACTACAGAAATTCTTTACTTTTTATAGCTGTGTGGACATTTAAAAAAAGAGTGAGATGGTAAGAAACAAGTATATAAGGGTTTAGATCAAGAGTCCAGAAAAACAAACTTTGTTGAAAAAGTATGTGACATTAAGTTATAAAAGAGGAATTCAGGGAAATTCTCTCTTAAATGTACTCACCTCAAGTCAATAGGACCAAGCATTGTTCTACGTGTCATAACTACAGACTTGAGGGCACGGAGAGTGTTTGAATAATTGTGACATTTATATGATCTTATCATCAGGCTCCCTTTTTGCCCCTACCTTGTTTTCTTTTTTACAGCATAGGTAAAGGGTTTGGAAGGGGTGTGGTTGCTGGTGAATACAGAGAACAATTGTACAGATGTTTATTTCATTCAACAATTTGAAAAATGCCAATGTAAGACATATTCACCAAAAAAAGCTGATTTTTAGAGACCTAAATAACTATATTTAATTTTTAAAATAAACACCAAAAATTATTTTAATAGATTCATGGTATTTTCAATTTGTCACAAATATTGTTACTTAATTTTAAGTTTTATGAAACGATTAGGTATATATTACATTATCTATCATCAAAGTACTTATCTGAAGTGTTTTAAAATAAAAAATTTACTAGTATCTATTAAAATCACTATATAATGAAAAAATTAGTTTGTTTCCAATATCTGGTCAGGAGAGTATGGATAAAATTACCTTAATCATTCAGGATATCTTGCATTACATTTTCAGTCAACACAATGTCAGAATATTTTAGTCACACATATTCTTAAGAACAGTTCTTAAAAATATTTAGCATTTCAAAATAGGTGAAAATTTCAATTCCGAATAAAATATTACTTGCGAAAGCTGTGTTCCTCCCTAAAAGACAAGCAAATAACCAGCAAGAAAAACTACTTCTATTCTTATCTTCTTACCTTCCTTCAGTTCTTCTGTATCAAATGTAGTGTCCAAGGTTGTACCTTCAGTAGGTGTCTTTTTAACTTTCTTCTCCTTTCCATAATTAGCAATTAAATGATGATATCTATTCATAAAGAGAAAATATATATTAATATCAGCATTCATAAATAGTCAATTCAATACATAATTACCAAATAAAAACCTTAAATATTAACTAATGCCTTGCCAAGTATGTCACACACTGGACGCTGACCTCAAGTGTCCTCTCAAGCCAACTCCATTAACAGACACCATTTTTATCTCATGTACTCCCATTCTCTGGCACTTTTTTTCTTCTGCTGTCACAAATAAGCCACTAGCAAGGTAGAAAAGTGGCTTTAGGTAATATTTGTTTTATTAATTTTCTGGGGCTGCTATAACAGAATACCACACTGGGTGGCTTAAATAATAGAAATTTATTTTTTCACAATTCTGGAGGCTGGAAGTCCAAGATCAGGGTGCCAGCAGGATGGGTCTTCTCTAAGAGCCATAAGGGGATGGTTTGTTCCAGGTTTCTCTCCTTGGCCAGTAGATTACTGCCTTCTTGTTGCCTCTTCACTAGGTAGTCCCTATGTGCATGAGCACCTCTGATGTATCTGTATGTCTTAATCTCTCTTCTTTTTTTACCCTCTAACTTTTAGCCTTTAATACAGAAAATTGTTTGCAAAAAACTTTAGAAGGCCTGAAGGGGCAAAGATGTGAAAGAATGCTACCCAGATATTGATCATTACAGGAAGCTGCCAACCCCTAAGGCTAGAAGAGCAAAAGGGAAAGGGTGTTGCCAGATCGCATGAGTGCTGTGCTGCTGAGGCTTCCAGAGAAACACTATTGTCACTGCTAGTTTGCAGGAAGCTAGGCGTCCCAGTGATGGTTCCAGATTCTGGAAGCCATAGTCCCATTTTTGCTGATAAATGTGCTGCTATTGCTACAACTGTGCCTCTATTACAGCAATGCCCTGCCACTGCTAATCTCCCCTTCTCATAAGGAAACCAGTCAGATTGGATTAGGGCCCAACCTAATGCACAGATATTTCAACTTATTACCTCTTTAAAAGCCCTTTCTTCAAATACAGTCATCCAAATTCTGAGGTACTGGGGATTAGGACTTTAACACGTGAATTTGACTGGGAGCAGGAGGGGGTGGTACACTATTTAGCGCATAACATTGGGATCAACAGTAAATTGACACGTGAACACAATTAACTCAGGGACTGAGACATACCCTGTAAGAATAAACCTTTTCTCCATGCCAATGTAAGACATATTCACCAAAAAAAGCTGATTTTTTCAGACCTAAATAACTATATTTTTTAAAATAAACACCAAAAATTATTTTAATAGGTACATGGCATTTTCAATTCATCCCAAATGTTATTTAATTTTAAGTTTTAGGTAATGATTAAGTACATGGTTCCAAAATTTTATTGAAAGAAATGAGGAAATGTATGGATTAAAGCTAACTGTAACATAAATATTTAAGTATAATTTCCTCATTTGAAACAGTTTCACTTATTCTTAAAAACTATGTAAGAGCCCTGGCCAGTGGTTAGAACATTGGCCCTAGAACCAAAGGGTCTTGGGCTCAATCCCTGGCCCTGGTTGGGGTGAGTGTGGGAGGCAACCAATCAATGTCTCTCTCTCTCTTTCTCTCTCTCTTTCTCCCTCCCCCTCCTTCTCTCCCTTCCACTCTCTCTAAAAATCAATGGAAAAAATATCCTTGAGTGAGGATTAACAACACCAAAAAAAAAAAAACTATGTGAGAAACATTTTCTGTGCTTCTACTCTTAAGAAGCCATAGAACCTATGTACCAAGAAAGAGAGCAAATAAATGGTAATAAGCAAAGGCCATGTATGCGTTAAATATGTATGTGCTCGATAGATAGCAGCTACTCAAGCTACAAAAATCACAATTACAGAGAGCTTATAGTTCTCATTTCAAAAGAGGGTCAAAAACAGAAAAAAAGTTTTCTGAACAGTGAATTTTATTTTCTCATCTATTAAAATCAGAAATATATGATCATACATGAAAAGTTTCATATTTTGTTGTTTGTTTTTTAAATATATATTTTTATTGATTTCAGAGAGAGGAGAGGAGATGGAGAGAGATAGGAACATCAATGATGAGAGAGTCATTGATTGGCTGCCTCCTGCATGCCCCCTCTGGGGATCGAGCCCGCAACCCGGGCATGTGCCCTGACCGGGAATCGAACCCCAATCGCCTGGATCCTAGGTCGACGCTCAACCACTGAGCCACGCCTGGCCAGGGGAAAAGTTTTATATTTGGGGTTCATGACAGTATATTTATTACACTGCTAAAGTGTAAACACAATTAAAGGAGCTTGTGTGAATTAATTACGTTTTGCCCAGCCCTATCCCCAGATTTTTATTAATGGCTATGTCACTAGTTGCTGGAATCCCCTGTCCTGGCATTCTTTAAATTTCCATGCCACTGGGAGTTAAGCTGTACACTCTGCCTACCCGTAGTTCTTATATTGATTGGACCCTACAAGCAGGTGAAAGCAAGGATACTTGGATCCATGGGACCAGAGTTCATAATGTGGTAATCTATACTGCAGAGCTTATTCCAGCTTTGTATTTTGGGGCTCATGTTTCTTTTCTTATGATCACATTCCATACAATTATTAAAAGATATTCAGTATCACTTACATAGTAAAACCATTAAAAGAAGCATATTCCTCAGCTGTGAATCCATAAATATCTTGGCAAGACAGGTCTACTTCTTGCTGAAGAAGAAGACTGACTAAACTTGTCGGTTCATCACTTAGAGCAATCATAAGGGCTGTTCTGGAATAAGAGATATAAATGTCTATTTATGGATCTTAAACATGTCTTATACTTTTTTAAAAAGTTAATGTTTAAATTTACTGTTCAAGTGTAGAATCTCTATTAGGAAAAGGATCAGGGCAAGAATGTAAAAAGTGAGGTAAATCTGCTCAAAAACATGTGCTAATCCCAGATCATATTAGGGGTCCAAAGGTAAAGGGTCCCTAAGAAGCAGCCAGATCAATGATTTTCAATGCCTTCTTTCCAAAACCCTAGGGTTTTCAAGGAGATGTCTCAAATGCTACGGAGGAGTATGTCTGGAGCTTTGGGTCCCCTACTCTCGTTTAACTACAACATCTAGGACTTAGAGATTGAGTTTCTACATAAGATTCTAATGTTATAAAAAGTTATAATAATAATAACCTACCAAATTTGTCCAAGTGTTTAATTTTACAGGAAAACAGATCTTGGGAATGTAGGTAATTTGCCCAAAATCATATGGCCAGATCTTTTCCCAAAAACAACAGAAGCAATAATACACATTTTATATATGTATATATATATATATATATACACACACACACATACATATACATATACACATACTTACACACACACACACATACTTACACACATACACACACAGATACATATATGTATATACACATTCATACATACAAATATATATATCATCCCATTAGGTTGCTGTAGGTATATGCTCTTATTAGCATTAATTATACCTTTGATTCTTATCTGAAGCATTCACATCCGCCCCTCTCTTCAGAAGAAATTCCACCATTTCTGCATTGTTTTCAGTAATGGCAAGTAAAAGTGGAGTGTACCCATCCTGAAATTATTATTTCAAAAAGAGTATTTAAAATATTGTACCAACATTAACATGCCTTTTAGATCCAAATTCAATTTAAAAGATAGGTGTGCTTATAAGAAACCTCTGATATACACTTTAATTTTTAAAAGGTTTTGATACATAACAAAATATGATTTTAAAGACCAAGAAAATAAACTGGAGTTGGACCATTCAAAAAATAAAATTTAAGTTTCAACTTAAGTCTTAATGCAAATTGTGGGTAAGAGGAGCCTAGATTATTTAAGTGATAAACACCTAGCATTTAATATAAGTATTGCAAATCATACATTCACATTTCACAATGTTGTTACAGTTGAATTTTCATAAGGTTTCACTTAAACCTCCAAGGTTGGCATGTATTTTGGTCTGTCCTGTAGACAAAATATCAGTGAACTAAGGCTCTAAGAAGCTTTAAAAAGTACTCATCAGTTTTCCATAATGTTTCAGTAGGAGATTTGGATTACTTTTAGTACTGTAAGTGATTTTCTAATTCAACCCCATTCTTACCATTATTCAGAAGTATATAAATAAGAAAAATATAGGCTTTATGATTCTTAATCAATATTCATTTATAGGAAAATCAAATAGTCCTCATTTGATATAGGCCTTTGAACAGTTGTCACTGTTAAATGTGATGTTGCTTTGGAGGTCAAGATTACAATTTGAAATAAAATGGAGAAAGATTTCTTAAAAAGGAAAATAATAACAGTACTTGATAATTCCATTCTTCTTCTCCTCAATTTCATTTTGGAAAATTCATTCTCTATATCAAGGGTGGGGAACATCTGGCCCGCGGGTTGTATATGACCCTAGAAATCATTTGGGCTGGCCCTGTCAAGGTAACTGCAGTTCCAGCCATCACATTAGGGGTGAGTTAATGAAACGTTTGACCAAATATAGCAGGCTAATTTTTAAGTTGATAATTTTGTATGGCCCAGGAATAATGTTATAAATATCCAAATGGCCCTTGGCAGAAAAATTTCCCCACCCCTGCACACGTGTTTCAACAGATATAAATTATCTGCAATGAATACTTTCTTTCATTGTCTTCTAAAATACAAGCTTTCTAAAATATAATGTGCTGTATTTAATAGAAGACTACCTTATTTTGTGCTTCAAGATTAGCTTTGTGTTCAAGTAGTTTCTTGACTAATGAGACACTTTGACCACAGACAGCATAATGAAGAGCAGTATTGCCACCTAAATCCACCAGATTCGGGTCTGCACCTTGGTCGAGAAGAATAGTAGCACAGTTCTCCTTTTTACACTGCACTGCCTGTCAATACAACAAGAATAGATGAGTAACCAATTTGCTGCTCAGGATAGGATATATTAAACAAATGTTTAATATTTCCTTTTAAAATATGAAATTCAACAAAAGTTAACAAAGAAAAGAACTAAACACATTCCAATTAAAAAGGAAAAATTAGCGCACCTTAGCCAGTGGAGATTTCTTTTCACTATCCCAGACATTTATTTTGCATTGTTTCTCAATTAAGAGAGATACAACATTTGAATATCCATAAGCACAGGCCAGGTGTAAAGGTGTCCTATATCAATATAACAAGATACAAAGTTAGAAATAAGCCTTAGTTTGAGAAGATACTCTACTCGGGAACATGCCAGGTCATATATTAAGGTATTTACTTAATGTACTGATTTATATTTAAACAAAATTTACATAAATTATCATTGCTTTTTACTGAATTATTACTTGTGTAATAGGAAGTTTGTCCAGCCCTCAACCCAAACACACAACCCAAAGGGCCAAACGGCTTTAAGCCCACCTAAAATAACTTTTTGCAGTAGCTTAGCAATTTCTAGCAAACATTCTGACTGTCTCCTTCATCCACTATTACACATATCCCAAAAATTTAGTCCCAAGAAACTAAAGGTGGCTTTTACTCAATCTTTAGATCCACCTCTTCTTCCAACTCTAGTTCTCTTTTTTCATTAACTTAACAAAACAAAAAAACCCCACAAACCCCATAAAACAAAACCCTGCTCTAAGAAAAAGTAAATGCCATTTGGGCAGTTCCCATAGGTCTTCCCAAGTGGCTGCTGCATGCCTGCTGGGTAAATTTCACTCTTCTAATTGAAGTCTAAACCCCACTGTGGCAATTAAACCTTTTCTGAAAATCTCAAAGCCCATCTGTATACCCCAAGGAACACAGGAAATCGGCCTCAAATTCCATAAAATAAAATGGCTATAAAAGCCTCAGCTTTCTAAGGAACTATGGAGCAATATAGTACTGTGGTCTTCCACACAAAAAATGTGAAAACAAGACTAATCTATCTTTTTGTTTTTTAATATATCTTTATTTTTTTCAGAGAGAGGAAGGGAGGAGAGAGAGATAGAAACACCAATAATGAGAGAGTCATTGATCTCCTGCCTCCTGCACGGCCCCAACTGGGGATCAAGCCCACAACCCGGGCATGTGCCTTGACCAGAAATCGAACCGTGATCTCCTGGATCCTGTCCATGTTCAACCGATAAGCCACACCTGGCCAGGCAAGACTAATCTATCTTGATCAAGCATGAAACATTACATAGTTTACAGTATTACTCAAACCTTTGAAACAGTATTACAAACATTCTTTCTTGGAATATTTTGCATCTTATTAAATGAGCCACTAGGGTTTAAAATGACAAACTGTCTTAAAAACATACAGATTTAACACTTGCCTACATTTCATTTTAAGTTTTAGATTCAACTATTTTTAAATTCCAGAACTATTAGAGTATGCAGTAAATGATATCTTTGTTATAGCCATTTGCCAGTTTTTACACATAGAAAGTAAATGCTTCGAAGCCAATATGTTTTTTCATCAAATGTCACAAACAAAAACACTTCTATTTTTTAAAACAGTTGAATGCAAAATGTGTATTTATATCTTAGAGAAACACTTTAAAACCAAGAATATTATTCCATTTCTCAAGTATTCTTAACTTTTCTTTTATCAATGTATTTTATTTCCAGTCTAAGACTTTAGTTTATATTGTTACTTTTTAACTCATAGCACTTATCTCACAAGAAATTTAAATTCCTGTGAGGCCTAGTGCTCATTTCTAAAGTTGCAGACTAGCTGGTATATCATTTTGTTTCATTCAAGCTTGGTTTTCTCCCAGTCTCTCACTCTCTCAAATATCAGTGAAAGGATTGTCAGCATAGATTTTGAACAGGTGAAAAATTGTCAGATTCTAGAAATCTCTAATTCATGTTTAACAAAAGGTATGTATTGGATGGGTATCAAGTGTGGATCACCCAATGGAAGGTGAAATTAAAAGTTTTATTCTTCTAGACAGAGTGAAGGACCAGAACATAGCTGCAGTCTTTAATTACAATTTTCATTTAAAGGTCTTTATTTAGGTCTTATCATAAGAATGTCCTTTTGATTAACTGACTTTCTTGGGCTCTTAATAACTTAGAATCCAGGGTAAGCAAAGAAGAAATCAAGGACGCTACCTCACACTAGATCATTATTATTTTCAACTCTAGGATGGGCACTTTAGATCTAATCTAGTTCTGACTAGTGTGACTAAAGTATTAGTTTAAAATTGAGCCTTCACCTGTCAAACTATGTAGGATTTGAAGGACTTTTTATTAAAAACCATAAAGGTAATTTAATTTTATAGCTGGAAGAAATAGTAAAGATCTTCTATTCATTTTCAAACTTACTAGACACAGTATTCTTGAAATAAACAACACAAAGCAGAAATCACCAGGGACCATTCTCATTCTACCTACTCCCTCTGTGCCCAAATCTGCTCTTCTCTTCAGAAGTAGTGATTTTTATTTTTGTATGTATCCTTTCAGATTTTATCTCTCTCATTCTCAATCTCTCTTTCTCCACACACAAATATTCAAAGAGACTACACAGCTTGAGATTTATTATTCATCTTAATTGAGGTATAATTTATATATGAAAATTTAAGTTTAGAATTTTAGAGTTTTGACCAATATACAGTGATATAAGCACCACCATAATCATAATAAAGAACATTTCCATCACTCTAAAACTTCCCTCATACTCATTTACAACCAACCAATCCTATTTTCTCTTCATCTGAAACCCCAGCTAACTACTAATATTCTTTCTATGGCTAAATTTTTACCTTTTAAGAATTTTATACTAATGTAGTTATTCAACATAAAATCATTTGTGTCTGTCTTCTTTCGCTTAGCATGACACTTTTGAGATTCATCCAGGTTGTTGAATGTATCAGTAATTCATTTTATTAATAAAAGATATCCTTTTATTTCTGAATAGTGTCTTTAAATTATCACATAGATCTACATATAGATGTATGCTTTCATTTATCAAAAAGTATTAAGTACTTAGTATAGCGAGGCAGGATTCTAGATGATAAGGATATAGCAGGAAGCAAAGCAGACAAAAATATACCTGCTCTTATGGATCATACATGCTAGTGAAAGAGGTAAACACAAAACTTATAATACAAAGTACACTGAACAGTATTAAGTGCTAAAAAGAAAAATCAGGCAGGGAAGAAGAGTAGGAAATGTCAGCAAGGAGTGGGAACCCTCACTGATAAGGTGACAAACAAACACCTGAAGGAAGTGAGAGAGAAAAAGCCATGTGAATATCTAGGGGGAAAGCAGTCCTGGCAAAGTGAACAGCAAGTGCATTTCCGGCATTTCTGTAGAACACTAAGGAGGCCAGAGTAGCTGGAGATGAAAGAAAGGGAGAGTTGTAGGAGGTAAGATCAGAAAGATAACAGGTGGGTGTGAGATGGAAAGCCAAGTGGAAGTTTGTAAGGCAAGCAATGACATCATTTGACATATATTGTATATGATAATTTTGGCTACTGTATTGAGCATAAGCTGCAAAGGTCAAAAGACAGAAAACTAGTTAGGAGACCACTGCAGTAATTCTGGTTAAGACATGATGGTGTCTTTGATTAGAGTGGTAACTGTAAAATGGAAGAAATGGTTGGACTTTGGTTATATTTTGAAGGTGGAGCCAGCAAGATTTGCTGTTGAATCAGATGGAGAATGTGAAAGAATGAAAGGAGTCAAAAATAACTCTAGGGTTTCTGGCCTAAACAACTGAAAGAAAGGACTTGGCATTTATGGAAAGAGAAGAGCAGATCTGAAGAGGAAAAACAGGAGTGAAGTTTCGGTATGTTTGAGATGCCTGATCAGTGATGTGATGGAGCCAGTGGCTCTCACAAGCCAACTGTTATATTCTCAGGACCCATTGGAGCCAGTTGACATCACACTGGTAGCTTGAAATCAGGGCTTCTCCTCTCCTCAGGCCACCTCCATCTTTCCAAGTACCTGTTATTGAACATTTAGGAGCATACCACAGCCTATTAAATATCCAAGTCAAAGTGTAGGCATTTATATATGAGTCTAGGGTTCAGGGGAGAGATCTAGCTAGAGATAAAAAGTTGGAAGGATTGGAATATAAATATTTAAAGCCAATCTCTCTTCACCATGCAAATGACAGAGAGAGACAGAGAAAAAGACACAGACACAATATGAATGAATGAATGAATGAATGAATGAATGAATGAATGAATGGGAATATCACTTCAAGGTTTGAGCCCTCAAATTTTTACCAGTCAGCAGGATGAGGAGAAATCAGCAAGAGTCTGAAAAGTGTCCACAGAAGTAAGAGAAATGCCAGGTAAACCAAATATCCTGCAAGACAGGAAAATATTTCAAATACTGCTGATAGGGCTAGTAAGATTCTTGTCTGAGATACCTGCCAGGTAAGACTGAGAACTGACCACCGAATGAAGTCATACTGAGGTTATCCATGACCTTGGAAAGTAATTCAATGAAGTGGTATAGAATAAAAAATAAATTAGGAAACTCTGTTCTTGTAAAGAAGAGGTAAAACATCAGCAAGATGACACAAATCTTTCTAGCCATAGTTTCCTGTTACCCAATTATGATGAAAGATGACATCTTTCATGCCCTATAACTTAAAAACTTCCCAAAAGATGTTAAGGTAGGCACACATAGTACAATATTTTCTGTTAATAATGACAAACACATAATTTCTTTGTTTCTTAACATATAAAATTAAATTTGTTTTGCAGTAAGTGGTGTTGGTGGGATTTTTGAAGTTACTCTGCAATTGAAAAAATTCCTAGAAGGTCCCCACTAAAGAGTTGTTTTGCTGTTTCAGCCTCAGTCTTAATAGCCACTGTTCTGGGAAGTCACCTCTACTCTTTTCCTATCACTACATTAGTAATATGACAAATCTTAGGTAGCTGGAGACAATATGCTCTATAGAAAAGAGGGGGGAAAGATTGGGAAACGTGGAGTAACCAGTGGAGATTAAGGCAATGGGAGGAGAGGAGAGAATCAGAGAGGACACAACTGTCTTCAAATAGCCAGGTAAGCATTTTCAAAAGTAAGAAGAGGAGCCCGGCGGGGCGCGGCTCAGCTGTTGAGCGTCCACCTAGGATCCAGGCGATCGGGTGTTGGATTCCCTCAGGGCACATGCCCGGGTTGGGGGCTCGATCAGTGACTCTCTCATCATTGATGTTTCTGTCTCTCTCTCCCTCTCCTTTCCTCTCTCTGAAATCAATAAAGATATATTTTTAAAACAGAAAAAATTTTAAAAAATAAATAAAAGTAAAAATAAAAAGAAGACGGAAGTTGGGAATGTGACCCTCTTCCAGGGCTACCAGCCCTTTCCGCCAGGGAGTGCGGGGGTCGCTGCCCCGTGGGCACCCGAACAAGCCGCGCTTCTGCTTAGAGGACCAGGGGTCTGGCGGCCCCAGCTTCCCACCCACGCAGCCTCTCGTCACTCTGCTCACCTGTATTCTCTGTCACGAATGTTCACATCATGCTTCTTGAGCCGCAGGCACTCCTTCACCTTTTCCAAATCCCCAACTGCAGCAGCTTTGTGAAGTTTCTTTAAATCCTGATCTCGAAGGTTGTAGCCCGGCTGCTGCGAGGAGGGGCTGCGGGGCTCCTCGCTCCTTCTCCACAAGGTGAAGAGCTTCCTCATGGGGCCGCCGAGACAGGCCGTGGGTCCACGAGGACGCCCCCGGCTCCTAACGGCCGGCCTGCCCTCTGCTGCCCCGAGCCAGGCTCGGGCGCGCGGGTCCCTCTGCTCAGGCTTTGGCCCCAGGACCGCAGGCCGAGCGGCCAGAGACCGGAAGTGGGCCAATGACCCGCAAAGGGCTGGGCAGGCGCCTCACAATGCTCGGGGCCTGCAGCAGCGGGGTGGGGCCCAGGCTCAGGGTGCCCATGTCCAGATCCCCACTTAAGATCTTAAACTGAATGCCACACTCGGTCTTCCTATTGGATCGAGAGCCTTTGGGTGGAAACCCAGCAACTCTCTTAGGAATAGGCCCTTCTCCATCAGGGACAGACCTAAGGGCTTCAACTCCTGCACACAGATTCGCCTTCCTTGTCATGGGGACGGATCTTCTCCTGTGATCTTGCCCTCTAGCCTCTAGCCAGCATCATTCACACCATAAAAATGCTCTCTTACAATTACTGAGATCCAGTCATAATCTGTTTCAAACATACTTTTGAAAACCACCTCTCATATTCCAGCTCACTTTCATCACAGAACTCATTGCATCTAAAGCCAGCTCATTAATTCTGCCACCTTTCACTGACCTTGGCCACTCCACTCCGACTTCACTTACCTACTTAACTAGATTAAATTCCATGGTTAATCATTATCATCATTCCCACGCATAAACTTTCAATATGTTTACCCCCCTTCTTTTTCTTATTTGTCTGCCTAAACAACAGTCCTCCTTAAAACTCCCATCTAAACTTGTCTGCCCTGAGCCACGGAATGTGACTAAAGGAAAAAGGAAGGCCATGCTGTCTTGTCTCACTTGTCTCAATCGGCCTGAAGTGGATTAGTATGCTTTCCAGCAATTCTTAGATATTTTATATCTTCCCTTACCATTTTGTATATCTTCTCTTTTCAAACTCATTCTTGACTGATGAACTGGTTTCCTAATCCACTGAGAAAAGAGAATTAATCAGAAGAGAAATTCTACAGGTTCCCAGGACTCAGCTACCTACACCTTGCCAAAAAATATTTTACCTTCTCTCATGTTCATATCTATGATATATCCATGTTTCTAGAAAAGGCCAGCACTTTTCTTTTAAATTTATCTTTATTGTTGAAATTATTACAAATCTCTCCTTTTCACCCCCAATTGATCCCCTCCATCTGGCATCCACCCCCACCCACCCCAGGCCTCTTCCACACTATTGTCTGTGTCAAGGGGTTATGCATATATGTATATAAGCTCTTTTCTTTTGTGTACCACAACCCATCCTCTATAGCTTATCCATGAACATTGCTTCAGCATTCCCCTCTCCTCTGCTTTCTCATGTGTCTTTAAAGTTTCCCTTTCTGGCTTAATATCCAAATTTTATAAAGAACTTGTAAAATTCAAAACCAAGTAAACAAACAATCTAATTAAGAAACGGGCAAAGGACCTGAATAGACACTTTGCCAAGGAAGACATACAGATAACCAATAGACATATGAAAGCATGCTCAACATCACTAATCATCAGAGAAATGCAAATTAAAACTACAATGAAATACCAACTCACATCTGTCAAAATGGCACTCATCAATAAATCAACAAACAGCAAGTGTTGGCAAGGATATGGAGAAAAGGGAACTCTGGTGCACTTTGGTGGGGAAGCAGTTTGGTTCAGCCACTGTGGAAAGCAGTATGGAGTTATCTCAAAAAATTAAAAATGGAGCTGCCTTATAAACCAACAATTCCACTTCTGGGAATATATCAAAGAAACCCAAAACACTAATTCGAAAGAATATATGCACCCCTGTGTTCATTGCAAAGTTATTTACAATGAGCAAGATTTGGAAGCAGCCCAGTTGCGCATCAGCAGATGAGTGGATAAAAAGCTTTGGACATTTACACAATGTATATGTATACTACTCAGCTGTAAAAAAGAAGGAAATCCAACCTTTTGCAACAGCCAAGATAGGTCTGCAGAGTATTATGCTAAGTGGAATAGGCCAATCAGAGAAAGATAAGTACCATATGATTACACTTATTGCGGAATCTAATGAACAAAATAAACTAACAAAGTGGAGACAGACCAGTGGATACAGAAAACAGAATGACAGCTGTCAGAGGGGAGGGGGTTGGGGGCTGGATGAGAAAGGTGAAGGGATTCAGCAAAGAAAAAATAGAAATACTCAAGGACATAGAAAACAGTGTGGTGGGTTCAGGGGAGGCAGAAGAGGGTAAAGGCAAGGAATAAATGGTGATGGAAGGAGACTTGATTTGGGGTGGTGAACACACAATACAATATACAGATGATGTATTGTAGAACTGTATACCTGAAACCTATATAATTTTGTTAACCAATATCACCCAATAAATTCAATTAAGAAAAGAAGAGGAAAAGTTAATTTCCCTCTCTGTTAACTAATTCTTATTAGCATAAATACATATTAGTATTGTCCATCTTAAAAACAAACAACAAAATTGACACCTCCCTGGCAACCTTTGCATCATTTCTCTCCTTTATAGCAAAACTCCTTGCAATTGTCTATAATCTTATAATTTTATAATCTTTCTCTACAATTTCTCTTCCTCTGTTTTCAAAGCAATACCCATTATTACTCTTTTGTTTCCATCTCTCTTAATCAATTCTGCTTTAGGTACAATTGATCATGATCGCCATCATGTGAAATCCAATTGTCATTTCTCAGTTTTCATATTAATTCAGTAGCATTTGATGCAGGTTTCAAGGATCATTGCTTGTTCCTTGAAACACTTCCTTCATTTAGATTCTAATACATCACACTCTTTTAGTTTGATTCCTTCTTTTCTAACCATTTCTTTTCAATCTAGTTTGCTGATTCCTTTTTATTGCCAATATTGGAGAGGCCCAGAATCTGTCCATCAATAGCTTCATTTTTTCCTAAAATCCTCAGAGTCATCTTCGAATCTTACCTTTTATACCTACATTTAAACAGCCAGTAAATCCTGTCAACTCTAACTACAAAATATATCCAGAATCCATTTGATTTCTTCTCTTACTCTATATTCCCTTCTGTGTGATTGCATTCAGTCCCAAGGCTTTCAATGCCATCTATATGCTATCAACTCCAAAACTGGGAGTTTCAGTCTGGTCCGCTCTCCTGAACTCCAGTCTGGTATATCCAGTTACCTAGAGACTCTATAGGCATCTTGCAGTTAGCATGTCTAAAGTTATCTCCTGACATTCCACTGTCACTGTTTTTCTTACTTAGAGAAGAGGTAACTCCATTCTTCATGTTGCTCAGGTCAAAAAGCTTTGTGTCATCCTTGACTTCCTTCTTTCTCAAAGTCCAAATCTAATCAGTTAGCAAAATCTGAGTGCACTACTTCCAAAATACGTTCAGAATATATTTTGACCACTGCTATCCCTGTAGTCCAGGTCAACATCATCTCTCTCATTTGCATTGTTTTATTTTAATATTTTATACTAGAATCTTGACTGGTCTTTATGATTCTTCCCTTATACACCACTTTTGCTCTAGTCTTTTATGAACCCAGCAGCCTGAATGATTCAGTTGATATGCCTTCAGATGATGTCACTCGTCTTGCTGTAAATTTGCCAAGGATTTCCTAAATTCCTCATAGGAAAAACTAAATTTCTTATAATGCCCACAAGATATAATTTATGACCCTACTTCTCCAGATGCCCCACCCTTTATTCCTGTGACTTCAACACCTTCTGCTTACTTAAGCTCACCCTGCTCCAGTCACAGTGGTTTCTTTGTTGTTCTCAACACACTAAGCCTGTTCCTGTCTCATAGCCTCTGACCTTGTTGTTCCCCTTTCCTGGAGTGCTCTTCCTGCCACCATGATATACGCTCTGAGAAGGCAGGTGATTTTGAATGTTTTGTTCCAGGATTTAGTATATTAAGTGATCAGTAAATAGTTATCAAATTAATGGATAACTATGTGAATAATAACCTCTGCTTCTATCTACCTTTTGAATCTTAAGTGAAATTTTGGACACAGAATTTTCCTTTAACTCCATGTAGTAGGAGTAAAAAGCAGGCTGTAATGTTTAATAAGAAACTTGGGGGTGGCAGATGGGAATGAGAATACAGAACTTAATGTGAAACTGGCTCACCCAAGGTAACTGTTTTCCAAAACCACAGAGCCCAGTCCAACTCCATAGGAACCTTTAGTAGGCAGCTTTCTGGCCATGAGAAGATTACTGTGTGACACCATCGACCCTTATTCTACCCTCAGGAATTTCCAAAAAATAGTACATAACACTCAAGGCATACAAAAAATAATCCACTGGGTGAGGAAAGAAAGTAGCAGAACCTCTTTGCACCTATTATTATATCTTCCTTTGAAAATGTGTATGTCTTTATGTTCTATAGTAGGCATGATATATTAGTATACTGACACATGCACACATATATTTAGTATGTCAATCAATAAAATACACACAAGGTGTGTTATTTTTTTAATTTTGTTTTGCCAATCCCCTCAAATTAATTTAGAGACTATTACCCTAGTGCATGTCTAAAAGCCCCTGAGTCCAGGCCCAAGAGACCATTAAATTGCCTTAATAAAAAAGACCAACAACACAATCCTTCACTTCTTATCCCAAGATGTATCTTTCATTTGGATGATTGACAAAGAAAATATCCTCCCTGTTTAGGGCAATATCGCCTCTACCCAACAGAACAACCATCAGAACACAGCAGTCCAATATAAGGGATATAAAGACATGTGAAAGGGTTACTTTCTCCTGAGCTCCTTCCTATCCTATTTGGAACCTTCTCTCCTCTTTCTACTGCCTTAATACAGCCTGTTTATCTCTTGCTTAGATTACTACTACTATGGCCTTCTAAATAGTCTCTGTTCATTTACTTCTAACACCACCCAAACAGTGGTGGGCTGGAGTTGACTCATATACCTAAGGACCCATTACTAAATATTCTGGAACTGTTGAAAGCCTGAAATCAGAAATAGAAATATTTACA